TGAAATGAAACCAATAAAGCACTAGAGCAGCTTCCATTGCAACTGTTCAGCTCCTAATTAAAGATTAGTTCCGTCAAGCAAGCACTTTTTGGCTGTTCTCTCCTGCATGGGTTTCACAACATTTCTTACTCATCTGGGCACAAGTTGGAGTTCATTTCTCCTTGCACGGTTCAAACCCACACAAACCTCATTTCAGCCGTGCGAGCAGCCCTGCAACTAAAGTTAGGCACACGRATAAATATTTCCAAGGTTGAGGCCCTTGTCCAATTCTAAATATTTTTCTCTTTGATCAGCTTTCGAGATAGCAGATACTTGAATTCTGGTAATATTTTAGTGGGGGAGTTAAAAAAACCTCAGCATGGTTATCTGGATGCTGTGCTATTTATGGTCAGCTATATTTTCAACCTCCCGGGCTAGAATGGAATGCTTTGTACTGCTGGAAGCTGGGAATCCTTCCTGCTCGGGTGTTTTCTGACACATTAAATCTTAAAATTATCTTTTTTCAGGGTGGTTATTAGGCCSTGGTGGTGGATATGTGTGAGCTAACCTGAAATAATACAATGTTTAATCCACGYTGTTACTACTTGTAGGTGTATTTTCCTCACTTAAATAGATTTTCCTAATGCAGCATGACGAGGAAGACACTTTAAGTAATTTGATGCATTTAAATGACTGAAATTATTTGAACCCAGCGTTTTAAAAACAAAATCTGACCTGGCTTTTAATTGGGGCTGGTGTTTGGGAGAGTGGAACAACTYGTTTGAAAATGTGCTGATGTTCATCAGTTATCAGACAAAATGTCTACGGGGTTTTTTTATCGTGGAGCCTAAACTTGCCAGCTCCGTTTGGAATTAAGGCTCCAGCTGTTCACCACACCCTGCTCTGCCTCCTTGCTGCTGTTTACAGTAGGAGGTGAAATATATTTGAATTTGAATTGTGTTGTGCTGGGTGCTGTGAGTCGGGGAGGGGATTTTCAGATTTCAAATTTAATATTTCCAAGTGAAGATCAGTTGCAGTGAAACACAGATGAACTCAGGGGAGYTCCTAAAATCTTTGGTTGGATTTTATCCACTTTTGCTCCTCTTCTTGCTGTTTTGACAGAGTTTGGGAAATGAGGAATGTCTTCCAGGTGATATTCAGGCAGGGAACTGAAAAAAAAAAAAGGAGGAATGTGGTACTGAAAGCTCCCAGCAAGGACCTTCAATCACTGCTGCAGCCTCAGCYCAGCTGACTCCCACCTCRAATTTCTGGGATCTCATAACTCCAYGCCCAGGAATGATTTCAGGTGCAGGAGGAGAGGTTTTTTGGGGGCTCTTCCAGGGAGGAGGATTCTCCAGAAACAGCTGGATCCTGACYCCTGGTACCATCCAGCTGTGAGCACAGTCAGGGATTAGGAACAAGGGGATTTTGGCTCCCACCCCACAGGAACTTCRTGTTCACCGAGGACGTCAAAGCACAGTAAAAAATCCGGTGATTTCAGTGCTGCTTTGTTTACAAAAACTTCAGGGTTCCTTCCTAAATAATTCATCACCAGCCTAGGTACAATAAGCAGAAAGGTTTTCTACAGCTTCTGGATGTGGAAAATAGGCCATTTGTGTTTCACAGAGCACAGAGAGCTCTGAACCAGCCCCAAATGGACAACAGGGAACTCGCTTGGTGTTCTCTACAAACTCTAGGAAGAACCTCTGTAGGATAAAACTTGTCATTGAAATGTTTCATTAAAAGGCTCATAAGCAATGTTAGGGKTTTTTTATGGAGCTCAAAAGTGCAAATGCATTAGATAAAAAAWAGGGTGGAATTCATCCTAAGCATCTTTTCCTGTCTTTCCCTGGATTCCTTTTTTTTTTTCTGCTTTTCAGTGAATTCCTGATTGCTGCTGCATCTGCTGTGGCTTTGCAGRTAGAGCAGAACGAGGAGAGGATGATTCTTATTTGAATCAGAGTGGATTTCCCAGACTTCTCAGATTAAAACAGAGCTTCTGGAGCAGGAGGAAAGAGGACTACCATTCTTGCTTTCAATTAATTAACTTTTTGCTGTTTCTGCAATCTCAGGYCCTATCTGCCCCCTTCATTTGAGAGCTGCTGTTGTAGTTGAGCTGAATTCCCTGCTGTTATCTGAAAGATGGCAAATGTCTTGCCATGTGTAATTATTTTCAGGAACAGGCAGACAACATTTTAATTTCCCTTTGCCTAATGTGTCATCAGATGCTGGTTGTGGAGTTCCATATTAGTGCATGTTTGCACAGGGGATTGGCATGTGGGAGCTGGCCAGTTTTGGGTGGATCCACACTCCATGGCACAGCTCTGGCTCCGACTGGGATCAGGCTGGGTCTGTGCAGCAATTTAGGGTTTTGGGTAGTGGGGAAGGAGTTGTTGGAGTTTTAGGATTGGGTTTGTKCTGCCTGGGTCACTCCAGGTGGAGTTACTGAGGAAAGAAGGGAGGAATGGGTGCCAAGGGCAGCATTTGGGGTGGTTTTGTGGTGCTGCTCAAGGAATCGTGGTTGTGATGGTGTGAGGAACTCAGGGAGAATGGTTTGTGCTGTGTGTGGGACTGATGGCTTGGCTGGGGAATTGCTCAGCTCAGAATCACAGAAATGCCAAATTCAGGTGTTCTCAGACCTCTCCAGGGATGGGCACTCCAAACCTCCCTGGGCAGCTCCTTCCAGTGTTCACCAACCCTTTCCATGAGGAAATTTCTCCTCTTGTCCACCCCGACCCTCCCCATGGGGAAATTCCTCCTCCTGCTGCTCACCCTGACCCCTCTCATGAGGAAATCCCTCCTGCTGTCCATCCATCTCAAACCTCACTGATAAAACAGTGATTTAAATTACATATTCTTTYCTTATACAGCTCTAAATTCATGTTYTGCCTTCCAGCTAAAGGGTTTAAAACATGAAACAAGCAGGAATGGAGCTGAACTTTTAAATCTGAGAAGGAAATCGTTGTGTTTCATGAGAGTAGAAGTGGCACTCACCTGGTTCTGTCAGTAATTSAGGAAAATAATCCTTCATTCATAAATCCCACGTTTTCCTCAGTTAAAAGTACAAATTACTTTTTTTTTCTCCCTTCAGCTTTGGATTTGTTGCTTTTGTTATCTGCATGTATAACAGTATTTGGGATAGGTAATATAATTTCAATTTCCAGAAGTTCCATGAAAATAGAGATTATTTTCTTGTGGAGGTATTATAGAAGTGTAAAATAACTGTATTCAGTGTTGATATTGAACCTGATACTGAAAAACAAAAGTTCATTTAACGTCTGTTCTTTTTCCTTTTCAGGTTTCCTCTCAAAAAACCTTCGAGGTGAGTTCCTAAAATGTGATTTTTGTATTCATATTGTAAATTACTGCAGCGCTTTTGCAGGGAGGGAATGCTTTTAAAAGTTAAAAAAAAATATTTATACACCAACACAGCTTGTAGCRCTTGTTACAGATGTGAGAAAATCAATATCCAGATGGGGATAAGGTGCCAAAAATAAATTTGTTGCTGGTGTCCTTGGCATGGGGTGGCTGTTTAGATTCTGTTTCAGGGTTGGAGGCTCATCTTACCTGAGATTTGAGATGGCCAGGGAAGGGGACACCATGTACAGGTGCTTCCCTTGGGGCTGCAGCATTCTGAATCTTTAATTTTGGCCTGCAGAGTTATTCAGAGTCTGCTGGGAAAGGAGCTAGAGGTGAGATTTCAGGAGGGTTTTTTTTCCATGAAATTTATTTTGCTTTTAAAATAAAATACGGGCTGATGCCGGGCGATAAAGAGAATTCTCTCGCTGTTACTAATTCTGAAGGTTACCAAGGCTGTTCCTAGAACCTTGGATACACTCCCAGAGATTGCAAGGGAGATCATTTTCCCCTTTTGAATTCTGCCTGGGAATAAATTTTTTAAGCGAACTCGACGCCTGCATTTTAATCTGAATTTCTGGTGAGCGAGCAGAGCTGGGTGAGGTTTTTTGGGAGCAGTCAGGAGGMTGCTCTGAGCTCTGGGCTGAGGATTTTGTGCTTTTTTTTGTGCCCCAGACACGGCAGCATTCTGAGCAGAGAGTCTCCAGCTGACAAGAAGCAGAAGGTTGAACGCTGCAGCAGCACCCACGAYTTCGATCCCACAGGTAAAATCCTAAAATTCCAGAAAAAAAAAATCCAAACAAAAGCGCTGGGAAGCAAAATAAAAATGATTTTATTGTGCTTTAATGTGGTTTCCGTTCTGGGTTACCCTGCAAAGGCAGTGTGGGCATTGAAATGAATGTGGGCTTGATTTTAAACACTAATAATCAACCTGGATTAGTGTATCAGTAAATAATTACAACAACTTCCACTTTCAGGAAAGTCAGGAGGCAGAGGCTGTAATTAGTTGTGAGGAGTTCTTCAGTGAAGTCTGAAATTGGAGATGTGGTTGGCTCAGCCAGGGCTGGRTTTTTTCCCTGTTGGGGTTTTAGTTTTTGGGGGTTTGTGTTGTTCTTGAGTAGATTTTGATCTCTCTGTGTCACTTTGCAAAGTGAATTTGTGCTTCCCAACGTGGCACATTTTAAGATGAACACCTCATTTTAAAGGATTTGCCATACTTTTATTTTTTTTAACCTTCCCAGARGTTAAATTAGGGAAATGAGGGTGCACACAGGATTATTATTCTCTCTGAAACACCAACCCAGTGCCTGCCCAGGCCATGAAATGCCTGTCTGAGCCTCCTGGCCCCATGCAAGGTGCTTTTTTCCTGTCTGTGCATTCAGGCTTTTCCCTGGGGCTCGGGGAGCACGGGGGAGTGGAATGGAAGGGTTGTAGGATGTGGGGTTTTTGTGCACAAGGCTGATGTTTATAAACTACCCTGTCATGGTTTCTGCCTCTGCTTGTGTGACTCCTTCTAGCAGGCACAAAATAAATGAAAATGGGCTTGAAATGCCAGTTAAAATCCATCCTGTAAGGAAAAAAAAAACCCCTGATTCAGTGCTCCTCTTCTTTTCCTTTCTCCTTTGGAATAGGAAATGTAAAATTATTTCAGGCTGGGGGAGATCTCAGGCTGGGAATGTGTTTTCTAGAAGGAATTTAGTTTCTCCAGTAACAAACTTCAGGAATCCTCTAATCTTAATTTGGAGAAAGTCGCTCCCATGTTGAGAGCTGTTCCCTGGCTTGTGATTTGATAGGGGAATTCTGCAGTGMAGCCCTCAGAAAATCCTTTTCTTTTTAAGGGGTGAATTCAGGATGCTGAACCACCGTGCCTGTGTTGATTATTTACTCTGGGGACAAACACTGCCAGAATCTCAGTGCTTGGAGTGGTTTTTTGGAGTAGTTTTTAGCTTGTAGTTACTGCAGAGAACTCCTTGGTTGTGTCCTAGATCCTGTAACAGGTTCTGTGTGCTGTTACCTGTGTCTTCATGTATTATTCACCCCTTATTCCAAGTGCTCCACCTGTKTTTTGTTCACATCTTATTTGTGTTTTGCACCATTTCACCCGATAAATCCAAGTCTGTGTTTTTCATGAAGTTTGTTTTGCTGTTTTTTGGTTTTTTTTCATTTTTTTTTCTCATGTTTGGTCTCCATATTTTCTATATCTCTCTCTCCTTTTCTCCTGCTCTCGTGCAGATAGCTCCTCCAAGAAGACAAAGTCTAGTTCTGAGGAGAGTAGATCCGAGACGTATGGTAAGCCAAACCTGCAGCAGCTCCCTGCTTTTCCTGTCTGTGCATCCCAGGCTTTTCCCCCTGCCCTGATCCGCATGGTTGGCTCTGCAGCAGGGACTGGCCCTCCACCCTGCTCCAGTTAGCAGCTTGTAGTGTTGTAGTGGCTGCAAATTTCATTAAAACTTCATTAAACTGGGTTTAATCTGGCACCCGTGGAGGTGTCCTGGGTGCTCCTGGAGGGGTTTGTGCTTTAGGAGAGTCTGTGCCCTGCCCTGAGCATGGAGTGCAGAGCAGGCACTTCCTCTCCCTGCAGGATTTGGAGGTTGGCTCAACAAAATTGGTAGGAACTGTCTCTGCCAGTTCATTTTAGAAATGGAAAATGCGTTTGTAAATAATTTCAATAAATGTAAAGATGTGAACTGCCCCCTTCTCTGTCCCAGGGGGAATGAGTGACTTTGCCCTGCTGGGATTGCAGGCTGGAATAAATGTCCCGTGGCAGGTTTGGGATGGGGATATCCCCAAACACYCTGCTGCTGTTGTCCTTCCCCATGATGGGCTGTTTGCCCCTGCAGCTTCCCATTCCTGGGGCTGGGACACTCCCCATCCTGTAAGGACTTCCTCCACTGCCAGTCTCTGTAGATATTTGCATTCATACCTTCAAATCTAGAAGGTAATAAGGTTTCAAAAGTTGTTTTTTGGATCCAATCAGCATCTTCAGATCCCTGGACCTGGGCTGAATCTGGCTGTATTTCATATTTCCAAGTGGGCATGTCTTGGTACAGCCATGGGTTGCCTTTCTTTTCCTTTCCTGGTATTTTTTTCATTTTAAATTCATGTTTAAAACAGTCTGTGACACTTTCTGATTTTAGTCAGCTCAAAAAACTGCTGCTGCTTAACCTTCTGTGGGATTTGGGATGCAGTGACTCTTCCTGAACCATCAACTTTATGGTTCCACTGGAACAGAGCTGCCAGGTGTTCATGGCAGTGCTCCAGCTTCTTAACCCACCTCTGGAATATAAAATGATGCTGTCAGAGTGAGAAACACTCAAAATTAACCAAACACCACCAACCCTGAGGAGYTCAAACCAACATAGGCATGTCAGGAAAAGCTGGTGCAGTCTGGGGAGGTGTGTCCTGTTCCTTCTGTGAAAATGAGATCTCTTTGCATTCCCTGGAATTTTGAATCACACACKTCTATTTTATTTTTTTTTAAAGAACAGTAATGTGATAGTCATGTTGCTCAGGGTGTGAGAGGGTTCCTYCAGCAGCTGTAAACAGCTTTGGAGAGTGCCTGGATGGAAACCTGTCTGAGGGAGAGCTGGCTTGCTGCAGCTTGTCATTGCTGCTYGCAGGGAAAGGGTTTGAGCAGTGCTGATTTTGGGGTGATTTTCTGCTTTGGAAACCTTGTCCCTCCCGTGCCAGGTTGGTCAGGATAACCAGATCCCCGTGCTCATTCCTGCCTCCCCATGCAGTGCTGGAGGTGCTGTCAGAGTGCCGTGGGTTAATGGCAGGGAAACTCGGCAGGGTTTGCTGGAATATCC